TCGCTACCGATGCCACGGGCACCGTCCTCCGATATCTAAGGCGTTCTGGTTCTGAGGTGCCGCCATTAGATCCGACAAAGGTGTTGTCAGAGAAGGCGAACTCTCCAAATTCCTTCTCTGAAAACTGCTGTTAGGGAGCCGATAGCGTCCCCGCAGTTTTTGTGTGGTCGCGTGGCCTGCAGAAAATCCCGCTCCTAGCACCGCACTAACAGTGCGTGCCAAGAAAGAATTTTTACAGGAGAGAGTTGATGAACTGGACCAGTCGTGGTTCTCACGATGACTTTAGGGTAGGTAGGTTGTAGGTGAAGTTGAGGTTGTAACAGTGCAACTTGGTGAGTATCTGGTCATGCCAAATTGACTCTATTGAAATAAATCCATTATGGGTCTTAGTTGTACCCATAGCATATACCTAAAGAATGGCGGGGAGTGTCTTGATGTTCGTGCTCGTCCAATGTTGTTGATAAGGAAAGCCTTCCCTGTTATTTCCATTACCACAAGATTAAACGGGGGAAAATATGTGATCGTCACAGGTACGATATAACGTTCGCACTTGTACATCCAGGAAGCATGTTATTTACCAGCCAAGTCTTCTCGAACCCAAGTCGAACCATGCGCCGGAAGGTATCGTGACCACATTCGAGACTAGCAATGTGTACCACATGCAACTAGGCAATGGCCGCTGTTAACAGAAGTCAAGACCCATTGCGAATTAAAGTATGAACGACTTGTACGTAATCTCTTGGCATAACGAGTTCTTTGAGCACTACTGCCATGGCACATACAAGGTAGCAATTGTATATAGACCTGCCCAGAAAGACACTAGGGAAGTTCCCCCAAGAATAAAAAGTAAGCTGCTCCGAGTTACGAAGACTATCAGACGTTACAAGCAGGTGAAATTAATGTAGCATTGGTCACATCACTTCCGTCAACAGTTCCACGACCGCAGAGAAACCGAAAGACAACAACGAGAGAGTACCTAGTATACACAAGCATGCTTCCATCGCCAGTATTCACGACAAGTTTAGCTCAAGTAGAAGCAACAGGAGCCTGTATACTTTTTCTAAGTTTTGGCTTATCATGTCATGACCAATCCATCACAGTAGTGATCTATAATGTACAGAAGTAATACACAGTCCCCCAGATACGACGATATAAACATGGATCAAAGATCCGAAAGACCCCAGCTCCTTGTCTCGATCTCAATTAGATCCCACCCTCGTCCTCGTCCTCGCCATCGGAAGATCCAGCGCTCTCCTCGCGCAGCAAACCTAGATCGTGCAAACACTGCATGCACTCATCCGAGTCAACTCAGGAGCTCCTCTTCACCGCATCCAGCTCACACGGCTGAGATACCCTGAGAGCCCATCGCTGTGTCACACAGTACTCGCGGTCCATGCATGTTCCCACGGGAAAGAGGAGACGGTGCATATCTCGTGACCGTTTGTCCTGATGGGATACACAAGTGTCGCTTGCTTTGGTGTGCGCAACGTGTCACGGCAAAAAGACATAGTATCAGATTGCTCGCTGAAACGAAAGCATCTCTCAGGGCGGAGGGCTATCCAAGGTAGGCAGGCATTAACGAGAATGTCCTGTTGGGCATGGAAAGACGGTGAAGGCCATCTTTGGGCGGCCGATGTAATGAAAATGAGAGGAGATGTGCAAGTCCGAATCAGCGCTTAGCAGTCGCATCGATGGTAGTGGCGTGGAAAGGGGACGACATCACGGACGTTGGGCACACCAGTGAGGTAGCTCAGAAGTCGGTCGAAACCAAGTCCGAAGCCACCGTGAGGGGGACAGCCCCAGCGACGCAGGTCGAGATACCAGGCCAGCTCCTTGCCCTTGTCGGAACGCTTGCTGGGAACTTCTAGACCAAGGGCCCGCATGTTCTCCTCGAGTTGAGGCAGACGATGCTCACGCATAGAGCCGCCAGCCAGTTCACCCAGGTGAGGAACCAAGAGGTCAAAACAGTCCACTGTCAGACCTGAGGCCGGAGACGAGGAAGACTGGCGCATGTAGAATGCCTTAATATCCCGCGGATACTGTGTTATGAAGATTGGAACGTATGCATCCGTGGCCTTGTCGTAACCGATCTTCTCAGCGAGGTACTTCTCATGTTCCGATTGCAGACCAGAACCCCATGTAGGCTTGTGCTCAAATTGGTCGGCAATAGGCTTGAGGATCTCAAGGGCCTCACTGTACGTAATTCGAGGCCACGTCTTAGTGGTGAGCATGCCTCGCCATCGACGATCCAGTTGTTTTTGGTCAACAAGGTCGTTGAATGCGAGGCGCTCAGAAGGTTCCTTCGAGTCAAATCGGTTCTGCTCAAGCTCCTTAGCAGCGTTGAGCTCCTTCAGCTCGCTGGCCATTGAGTTCAGCATGCGCTGTGCTAGGTTCATGACTTCCTCCATGTTATCAACGAAGCTCATCTCAGCCTCGAGCATGTAGAACTCGCTGAGGTGCCTCGATGTATCACTCTGCTCAGCACGAAAGGTCGGGGATAAGGTCCAGACGTTACCGAGTGCTTGAGCGAGAGCCTCAAGGTGGAGCTGAGAAGAGACAGTCAGATACTTGGGATCACGGAAGAACTCGTCAGGAGAAGATGCTTTGACAGCAAATGCTTCTCCAGCACCCTCGCAATCAGAGGAAGTGATGATAGGAGGGTGCGTTTGCTGAAATCTCTCACGGAAGAAGAACTGTGTGAGCATGGCGGTGGAATCTGATCGGAATCGTAGCATTGTTGAGTTCAGAGGCGTTCTTGGCCGCAGATGTGAGATGGTGCGAAGACTTTCAGCGGTCTGATATTTGTTCTGGATCGGGTAGGTCTAGATATGTGTAAGAATAGGCCTAATCCGTGATATCCAGATGCTTTTGATAACGTACCATAGGATCAGAGCCTCCGAGAACCTCCACCTCTGAGACTTTGAGCTCAGGCTGTTCTGAGCCTGTTGACGTCTCGTCCTCGCTTGAGGCCTGAGATATCTCCTCAATGTCAGATTGTTTTCTGCTCTCATCAACCCATGTTCCTTTTAAGCGGACAGCTGCGCCCGGACGCATACTATGGACAAGTCAGTTCAATATCAATATGTGTGATTCAAGGCCTACATACTCTGTGGCTAGATTCTTGTCCACGACCACCTGAACAGGTCGCATAGACGATCCATCGGTAATATCGATGAAGCGTACCCCTGAGCTCTTCCGCACTGATCTGACCCATCCACAAACCTCGACATCAGGCACATGGGACGTTGGGCCCCAAGCTTTAAGCTCAGCCACAGTTTTGATGTCTTTCTGGCACTCGCCAGGGACCTTGACCGCATACGGTCTTATTTGGGGCCATGGTCTTCCTAATCTTGGCACTCTCGATGCACGAAACGCTCTCATTGTGATAGATGACGAGTCAGTTGGTTGCTCTAAGATATAAGCAACAGAAGCTAAGTCTGGGGAGTGCCTATCTTCAACACCCAATCATTGAGCCCAAATTTGCTATGTTGGGAATCAGGTCCGCCTCAAATCGGAAACATGCGCGTAATGATGGAGAAATAATTACGCCTTTTGTCGGTGAGTGAGATGGGCTGAAGTAGTGTCGTGGAGTCCAACGCAAGGGATACCAAGTTTCGATGGAAGAATGGTTGGCTGCGGAGAAATTTTGGAAATATCATGGGCTGGTCTAGGGTAACCTAATCGCCTTGCCGTCAGGTACTATCGATTAAATACGAAAGCAGAGTCCAATGAGAATGGCCGGCTCGAATTTGGGCTCCCGTTCTGGTCAAGCGGCGGGCCCTTAAGAGAGATGTACCGCATCGGATCTCCATTTTGCTGGGACGAGCTCGAGCTGAGATCGGGGGATGACCCGTCGAGGTGTCGATGTCATGCCGACCAAGTCAGAGTGGCTGGCTGCAACAGTCGAGACGCCTTAGGTATGGGCCTTAGGTAGGAGGTACCTATTCTAGGAGCTCTGTAGTTCTAGGTATTGGTGCGTGTGTCGAGGTTCCCTGGAACGGTTTAGGTTAGGGTTGTTTGTTTGTTTGATGTGGTTTTCACCTTATCGTCTATTACCTTACCAGCGAGATGGTACCTCACGCACACACCGCACACTCACCAAATTGCTGGGTCGCTAGGCTAGTCCCTGGTGTGCGCATCGTTGTTCAGGCAGGTGCAGGTGCAGGTGCACGACCCGAGCCAGTCTACCGGGACGCGCTTTCCTTGCTTGAAGCTAATTAAGCTAGAGCTACCTCATTTCGTCACATCGACAAAGCAACTGCCAATTGGGGAAGGCAAAAATAGATTCTCAGCTGGAATGGAAAAGGAAGGGACAAGGGACATACTGTACATGGAATTTGGAAAGGGATGGATATCAGATATCAGACAGAGCCCCTTCCTTTCCACATCGGTTTCAGGGATACCTTACTATAGTTTCATCTCCAGTTCAAGACATATTCTCTTCTCTTAAGTTCTCTTTCACCTCAACAACCTCGATTACAATGCACCATGCACCCACTTTGAGATCTCACTCAGCCCACGGTCCATCACCGCCTGTAATCAGAATACCGTATCAAACAAACGTCAGTGACCATGTTCTCGTCAATACTCCAATCAGATATTGCGTCCACTCACCCTCTACAACCGCACTTCTCACGAGACACACAGCAGGACAGCAACCCACCCAATCGAAACAAGCGTGTTTCTTTCAACTAGTTCGAAGCCAAAATGCGAACTCACCGAATTTCCTCACACCAAAACAAGAGACAGATCCCGACATCATTCGGTCCAAGAAAAAGCAAGCAGCCCACACCGCAACCTCCCGCACTCTAGGTAGCATACAGTAGCATCTTGCCCCGGTACCAACCCTGTCTCAGCCCAGGCATCGTGACTGGGTTTTATGCGGTTTTCCATGTCTCACATCTTGAACCGATCGATTGCGCACTCTGCACAGCTTCCGCCCCAGCATGTGGGAATCCCTATCGTACAGAACTGGCTGTATGTACTGTAGGTACAGTACCTATGTACTTGATGAGGCTAGCTGGGATACCATATCCGCCCGCCCATGATCAATGAATGCATGAATCGACCTTGTCGATGCCGTCAGTCACTTCTCCGAGACCCATGCCAATACTAGACTACTACTCCGTACCCTTTTCTTCACTCTTCCATTTTCTCGGGCCCCCATAGCTTAGCTGAGCCTCGTCGTCACAAATCACCCCACAATCACAATCACATCCACACTTCACCCTCTTTTCTTGTCTCTTTCTCTCACAAGTTGGTTTTGGTCCGCCGCCCTGGGTATCCGCTTGGACACAAGCTTCCACCAGGCGAGATGAAAGGGTGCCACAGATCTTGATTCGCAACAATGTCCCGGCCAGTTCTGTCTCAGGCTCGCCGATAAAGATCATCCTCCTCTATGGTCCTTGTCGTCAAACAGCCCAACCAGCGTGGTTGCTACCTCCGTCTTGAGATGGCGGCGCCGCCTGTGTCCCCGTGAGATCTTGCAGATGCTCCACGGTTCCCGATATTGGAGGCTCAGTGTAGCCCACCCTGGTTCCGTCAACTTGGATGTCGGTGCCCCTACTGCACTGTACGCCTGTGATGGTGGGATGCGATCTGGTACGGCACAGATCCCCGGTCGACTACGATACGTGGTTCCCAGTCCCTGAGCCTTCTGATGGGCCCTTTTCTTGTCCCTTCTTATGGCTTGTCTTAATTCGTCTGGCCCTGCATTTGCTTTTTCGAGCTGCCCTGTACCATTTGCAGCTCGTACATCCTAAACTCGTGTGTACAAGACCTATATGCCTGCTAGGACATGTCGTCAAGCGAAACGTCCCCGTTTTTGGCACCCAAGTCTTGCCGTACCCATAAAGTGATGCTGGTCTGTTTTTCTTCTGCTCATTCTTTGGCTTGTTGCCTCGCCTCAGGCCGAGTCTGTTCTAAACAAGTGGTTCAGATCTTGCACATGTTGGGTCACACAGCCCAGTGCCCATCCCTCCCTCACTCGCTTGTCCCGGAGAAGCCAGTCAACCAGAATGTGAGTCCTTGGATCATGTCCGGTGACAGATTCCTCCGCCGTGTTGTTTCTTCAGACTCACGGCCGAGTGTCCATATAAGACCTTCCTGCCCTCCATCGTAGTCCTTATTCCCAGCCCTTCAGACCTCATCAACCCACTGCCGCTCACTTTCACTACTCTTCCTCATCAAGCTAGGCATCTCAAACTTGGCACTTATTCTCTCACTATTGGCGTCATTGGTTTGATAGCGCCCTGACTACAAGCTTGTTTAAAGCAGTACAAGTCCATACTGCTTGCTCACACATCCAACACCTTCATCATGGCTCCTCCAAGATCCAGCCGGGTGCGGCCTTCAGAGGTCGCAGCTGATACCAAGAGAAATTTCATTCCACTTGTCAAAAAGAACTATGGCGAAGTTTTCCCACCATACTCCTACCTCTATAGACAGCCCATCATGCAACTCGCCATCCAGCGTCAGAAGCCTACGACTCGGCCACCCTCCTTTAGAATCGAAGTGGGAGACCCAGTCATGAAGGCATTGACATATGCAGCCATGGATACACAACAAAGCGAGGCTATGGGAGGTCCTCGTGTGCGGATTCCGTTCATATGCGCTGCGAATGAACGGAGGCCCGGAGGTGACTGGGAAACTGGATGCGTCGGATATGAGGAGAAGCTATGCCGGCGAAGTAACCTCTCAGCCACATTGAACACGCCATGGCCGAACTCGCCGGAACCCAACAACTACCCGATCCCATCACAGGGTGGCATCTTATCTGATGCTGTTGTGGTTTGCCGTGGACCACATGACCGCTACGACAGGCTGGAGAGCTGGTTTGACCTACCCGTCGTGTCGGTACCACCAACCCGATGGCCCAAACTCAAAGACAACGGACTCAAGTACTCTTTTGCAGAGGAACGTGAGATGACTCGTGATAAGCTTCGCGGAGCTCTCCGTATCTGTCTTTACAACGGATATGACCGTGTTGTCATTGGGGACTTTGGCTTAGGCAATGGCTACCGCAATCCTCCCCAAGAGCTGGCAGAGCTCTGGCGGGATGTACTGCTTTTCGACCCCGACCTTCGAGGACAGTTTGCATACGTTGTCTTTGTCTTTGAAGACCCCCTACAAAGCACAATGCGCCACATCATGGACGAGATTACCAAGAAGGAGAACAAGGGCAAATCTAGGACTGGATCCTCCAGCTCGTCCGGATCGAGCAAAAGCCACAGTAACGCTCCCGCTGATCGTGAAATTTTCGAGCACGTCTTTAGTGCGAGTGAGGTTGACCGAGTTCTGCGACAGCCTGACCCACGATACGGACTTAACATGATTACAACATGATTTAGTTTGTATCAATCTGAGACAGATTCCAGAACACGGCTTGCCAACCCGAGAGCCGTACCAGCGGAGATCTTGAGTCGGGTCTGTCGACAAAGAAAAACTTGTCTCAGGAAGACGAGCCTATGATGACTCTAAGAGTTAGTCATTTTTTGAGGCCGACCGACCTGGCGGGACCCTTGCGAAACGTTTCTTTTTTTTATTTTTATTTTATTTTTATTTATATTTCAACTGCACTTTCCCGCATTCTGGCGGTCAACCGAGGAACGACGAAAAGTCAGCGAGCGCTTAGGGCAACTATGATACCAACCTCGACGAACAATTGTCCAAGGCCAATTATGAGGCAATGCAATGGATGGGGAATCTACGGGACAGAGACCAGACGAAGTCAGGACAAACGCAGTGTTACGGGAGTCATGTTGGTTCTTTGCTATTGTTGATTGTGGTCAGTTGACAAGGAATTTCTTTTTCTTGGTGTTTGGGGTTTGTGTTTGGCGCCTTATTGATTCCCGATCTACAAGTGGCCCTGTCAGGCTCCTGTATCACGACGAATAAATGATGGTATCGGCGTTGGGTGTTTCACATATATATTTAGCTCAGCTGGTTAAGGAATCTTGTTGTTATCTCATGTCGCACACGGAAGCACTGCATGCCGTTTCACAGCCTCGATCTGCAATGTCGCTCGAGGGTTTGATGTGCGATGAACTCGGCCGAGACCCCAGTCAGGCTGAGATGTGAGCATCCTATCGGTCCTCAAGCACTGAGAACTTATAAGGCAGGACAGCAATTCCGAGGCGATATCTGAATACTAGGGTTCATTGGAAGAAACAATCCCTTGCTGAATTCCTTCCGTTTCAACTAAACAAGGTGATATACGCAAGACTATTTGTCTAATATGACCCACCTATCAGCTCTCTTTGAACGTAGTTGAACCCCGGCTTGCACTGTAGTCACAACGTGCATGCGGGTACCCCCGAAGCAGCCGGAGGATCGATACGTACTTTTCTAAACGAAACAAATGCCAGGGCTGAGTATTAAGTTTAGACTTGTTCGGACTTGCTTCTCCTAAGTTTCCTTGGATGTTTATGTGAAGGCAGAAACTTGATCTGACGTGGCTCGGAAGATTTGATGACTTTCAAACATACGAGTCAACTTGATAGGTCATAACTACCTAACCATGAATCATATGAGGCTGACTACCGATGTCAGGAAGATATCTTCTGAAGGGGTAATCGAGGATTCAGCAGTGATCTTCAACTCGATCATCAAACTACCAATGCAAGATAACGCACCCCCCTGAGTCAAACCCCGACAACTCATTGATCAAAGATATATACGTATATCATACAGCGCTTGAAGTTCAGCCTCGCGTGTAACGACAGGCGGACCTTTAGACGCGGATGGCCGCAGGGGAAAAGAAGACTACACTCAACTTGGACAACTGCAGCAGATGTAGACGCAAATGCACGTCGACGATCATGGGTACTTTACTAGCGGCAGATCATATCCCGCAGAGAACCTATCTGATGAATAAGACGAGACATCGCAAGCAAGGGTTTCGAGTTACATACAACACGTACGTACAGTGAGTGCCTTATGCTTCCCCATGTGCTTGTAGCATGTTGTCTACAGCTGTATGCACCGCAATCTCTGTGCTCCCTTCTCCACCGCCTCTTCAAAGCTTGTATCCAAAAATTTGCCAAATAAACGTTGCTCCCTCTCTCGGACTGTTGCACAAATCTCGATTGCGACACCATTACACGACATCAACATCATGTTACATCGCAGACCCTTTTCCACGAGGCGCAAAGAACGGTGAAGGGGGCATACACAGAAAGTAAGAATAGACTCTGATAATAACAAAGAGAAAAACTGTAAAGTGGGGGAGAGTTTTGTTTCAGAGTAGTCATGCAGAGGAGAGTCATGCAAAGAGGCGAGATGCAGTAACACAAAAATCTGACTGACCGCCTGAAAAAGACATTGGCGAGGTGACAACAGAGTGTCTTTTCCTGCAAGGGAGAAACACAGCCAGCCTTGTTGTCTTTGCAGGATTAAAGACAAGCATGAATATAATGTTGCGGTGTAAGCTGTATGCTTGAGTGTCTCCCATGCTATGGATGGACACATGTATCGTGCAACAACAGACAGAAAGGACAGTATCAATGACAAGACTGAGATGGACCCGATGATAATGTGTCGGTGTGTTCGTGCTACCCGCTACCTGTTAACCAAATCATCATCCGTCCTCTCATCCTGTCTCTCCCACCAAAGTCTTTTGTTTCTGTTACATTACTCCATAAGATAAACGACCGCTGTTATCAAGATCCGATTCTATTAAGCTGCTTGACTTTTTCAACTACCAATAAGCTGGTCTTAAACCTGCAAAGTTTGACAAGCTTGCCGCTGTGTGCTCCTCACCCTCCTTCTTACGTTGTCCGCTCAACTAAAACGCATGTTAGAACCTTTCTGTTAACAAATCATGATTAGATAGAACTTGCCTCCAACTGAACACCCTTGTGAATGTGTACCAGCCAATCCACGTAACTCTGAGCCTCATTGTTGCGGTCCTCCACGAGCATACGGGCAAAATCAAACTCGGCACCATCAATGCCTTGTCGAGCGAGCTGGATGGTGAGACCCTTCGAACCGCGCATCGTTCGGAGGAACTCGATAATGTTGCGGACTTGAGCGTTGAGGTGAGTCTCAAGTAAGGGAAGGGCTGATGTGTAGGGGTCAAGACTCTTGAGAGAGTCCTTGTCTTCACCAAACAGATCAGAAATGAGGTTAGGAGAAGTCTGTGAGTGGAACCAAAGGAGGCACTGTTGGCCATTGTCAACCAGATACACACCACCAGGCTCAACTCGTGAGAATGATGTGCGGATCGCAGGTGGCATCTTGAGATGGCCTGTCTCGGGGTCGGCGAAGCCCTCTTCAGGTGCGAGGTTGTGGATAGGAATCATTCGGGGGTACAGATACAGGCTCAGCTCGAGAGCACCCATAGAACGAAGCATTCGCATCTCATGGACTCTGCGGTCTGAGTTCTCGACACCTCCCTTAAGTGCTCGGCACTTGAGGAGACCAAGAAGGTACATGCAGTACTCCTTCAATCGCTCAGGCATGACAAGCTGTCCTGGAGGATGCTGTTGAGCGGCATGTTTTCGATAGCAAGCAAGGACGTCAATAGCCTTCTCACTCAGCCAGTGACGGATATCCTTGAGGTTACTTGATGTAGTCGCCAACTTCGTGCTGGCTTCCTTGGCCAGCATACCAATGACAGCGTCTTGATCAACAAACTTGAGGCACTCACGAATACCCTGTTCACGCGCACCCGATTCCTTGGAGGTTTCCGTAACGCTAGCAATAACATTTGAACATCGCACGCGGCGTTCGCCTGAAGCCGTTGTATAGAGGAGGGCAGACTGGAAGTGAGCATCAAGCTTGGGATCCAGCTTGCCATCGTAACTAAAGCTGACACCCATTGCCTTATCAGCATCAATGACGCCAATTTCCAAGTCAGCACCAAAGGTGTGTTGGATAAAGTTGCCATGGTAGCCCGAGACTTGGAGACCGTTAGAGCATCGGACCTTCATAAGAGCTTGGAAACCAGTCTCTCTAGTCACGGCGTGTGAGATCTCGAGTGATAACTTTCGGCTATCCCTCGCAGCGATGAAGTTAGGGTAGTAAAAGGTCTCTCCGCCAGTGGTTGAGGAAACATGACCTAAGCAAAATGAGATTAGCATGAGTTTATGACACTTTTGGGGACTGTGCCTACCAATAGTCGCAATATCAAGATAACCACCTGAAGGAGCAGCAAGGAAGAAATCAGCACCGACACCGGAAGCAGCCATCTTCTCGGCAACCTTCTTCCAGGCCGGGTGCTCAGTTGTGTAGAGCTTCTTATCGATTTCACCTCCAGGGTGATTACCATTGTCACGCATGAAGAGACGACCAGGGCCCCAGGTTGGCAGCGCAGAGCAAGATGCCACAACCTTGCCTCCCGTCGCCTCGAGGGCGGCAAGTGCTGAGATCAGGGCGGCGAGAAGGGCGGGCTCGGGGTTTTTGATGGTAGAGAACATATCCGGAAGCCTAGTAAGCAGAGACGTGATCACATCCTTAGATTCATATGGGTCGACAAAGAGTCCCTCGCTCAGGGGCACAAAGGGATCCTCAAGATCAGGCATGATCATCATCTGAGCTTGATCCAGGGCAGGCTGTAGACTGTTAGTGAAAGTGGCAGTACAAACATCATTTTCAACTCACGTTGACATTGTAAAAGTGAATGTCCTTGTCGTACGTGACAAATCCAACCTTGGCGCCTTCTGGTATCCTACGTTTCGGCTCTCCATTCTCATCCAACTCTTGATCTTCACCACCATATAGAGCAACGCGGATACCCTCACAGAAAGCCTCGACATAACCCTTGTTGTAAGATTCTTGGGTTACATCGATAAGGAACAACCATCGCAATCCCACGGGCTCCCTGGTCCAGTACTCTTTAGGCACCACAAACTCTACAGTTCCTCGGTGAAGCTCGGGTCGAGTGTCACGATCAACTCGGACGCCTTGTGGATTGGTCGCAGAGAAATATTCGGGGGGAGTGTCGTTGGGGTATGCGCAGAGGTTGCAGACAAACTTGTTTCCACCTGAACGGAACATCATAAAGGGGTTCATATAAGCTCGGCATCGTCTGCATCGTGGGGGTCCAGCTTCACCAAAGTCGAGGACAGGAATTTCGGCTTCTCCAGCCTGCAGAGGAGCTAGTGGCTGCAGCAAGAGTCCCAGAGAAAGGCCTGTAGCCTGCAGAGCGTCCTGAGTAGTGGGGATGTTGTTGAGTGTGAGTCGAGTGTATTTCGGTGACGAGTTGCCCTGGTCGTAGGCAACAAACGAAACGGTCGAGGGAGGAGGGACATGTCGTTCGAAGGTGGGGTACACGTTCTTGAGGTAGTACTGCTGGATAGCATCTCGCGAGGCCGGTACGCTGGGCATGTCGTCAGGTGACACTCCCTTGGGTCCGCTGGTAGACACTGAGGCTGTACCGAGGCCCTCGCCGACACCAGGTGTTCCAGCAACAGGACCAGGACCAAATGCTGGGTTAACTGGCGCACTAAATTGGCTCTGGCTTTGCATCTGAGGGGTTCCCTGGGGGCTTCCAAATTGACCTCCAAAACCGGGACCGCCAGGGACGCTGTCGAGGAACTGTGTAGCCGAGGTCCCCTGGGGAGGCATGCCATTGAAGGCTTGTGAGGAGCCAGTAGGTTCAACGGTATGGTATGCATGACGATCCTTCTTCTTCCTTCTCGCTGTGCCGTGTCCATCTCCCAAGTTCATTCCACCAAGCTGAGCAGCCAGTGTAGCATCTTGTGACGGAGGAGCTTGACCTGGAGGAGCCTGAGCCTGAGGAGGTGCATAACCATATCCGGGAGCTGGTGCGGGAGAGCCAGTCATAGGAGGAGGCGCTTGCTGGCCTCCAAGATACTGGGGTGCTCCATATGGTGATGCTTGTTGTTGGTAAGGTGAGGGAGCGATCGGCGGTTGGAACTGTTGCGCAGAGGGTTGAGATGTTCGGTTAGGATCATTGGGGTCGATAACCTCGCCCTGGCCAAGAGCGTGGTACTGAGCGTAGTCGGCCATTGCGACGTTGAAGCTCGAGAAGCGAAAGGGACGAAAGTATCGAGAACGAGTATCGATCTATCGGACGAGCGTGTGCCCAGTAAAGGAGACGTGGGGCAATGAAATGTACCGTAGGATGATGGATGGCGGTAGCTAAAGCTTCAATAACATGAGACAAGAGAATTCGACAAAGAAATTATATGCAGAAAATCACGAACAT